CAAATGGCCCTTCTTATCTCCGTGGATGTTATCTGTTTTCCATCAAATGTCGGTGTTACTGCAGTATCTGCTAGTGTTGGACCAGGGCAGAGAGCAGGCATGAGACTTTATTCAGTAGTGATGTACCATGTCCTCAGTCCTACTTGCAATATTGCATGTTAAGCTCATTCTGAATTGAGATAACAAGTTTGCTACTGCAAATTTGAGGAAGTTTTTTACTGAGGAACTTGTTAAGCAACTTTGCTATGTCTCAGGATCTTAGGCAGAATTGAGCTGTGGCTGTAAGCGTGGTCTCTATCAGCTGCTCTACCACTGAAGTTTTAATTCTATTTTAAAAACTAAGCAGTGGTTTAAAAGCAGTGAGCCACAAATGACCTTATCTTTACAGTGAAGAAATATCCAATCATAAGACTGAAATGCAGTGTCCAATGTACATGTTAATTAATTCAGCAGAGCAGTATATGTTGTGTCAAACTCGCGAAAAGATTTGCCTCAACTTGGCAAATTCTGATTCAATCCATGTTCACTGCAGTGATCACTGCCGTTAATATTTACAAAAATCAAGAAGTACTTTTCCTACAAGATGTGGTAGAATATTGTTTAGTTTCCTATGATCCCTGGAGGTCAGCTATATGCATACATGAATGCGTTCATACAGAAAAACTCATTGCCAGCAGTATTTTATTGTGATGGACATGAAAATGATACACTTATTGTTCCTTCTGTAAACATATATTTTTCCTCCAAAAGCTAGATAGTAGTTCAGCCTTCTTCATTTTAGGTCTCTTCCTTGAAGAACTAATGTGTTCTGTCATAACTTGTTCACGTAACAGCCTATTAAATAAAAGTTTAGACAAATTATATTGAAGCTCCAGTTCAGGCACGTACAACCTGCTGCCTGTGGGCTGGCTTGCAATACAGCCCACCCCCTCCCTGTGACTTAAAGGTGGCAGCTCTTCCTGTGGATTGGCCCTGGGCACGCACTCATTACTCAGCAAGAACCAAATTGTCAGTGTGCTATTAGCAGTGTCAGCTGAAACCAGGGCATGGCGAAGGCAAATAATTGTATATATTTTGATACGTTCGCTAAACACAGAACTCTGAACAGCAAAGAATACGCAGCAGTGCTTTCCGTTTTGATGAAGGAATTTGAAAATGGAATCAAAGAATCATAGAATCCTTAGAGTTGGAAGAGATCTGTAACAGTCACCTGGTCTAACTCTCCTGCAATAAATAGGGATATCCATTGCTTGAGCAGGTGCTCAGAGCCCCTCCAGACAGACCCTGACTATCTTGAGGGATAGAACATCCATCACATCTCAGGGCAACCTGTTCCTGTGCCTCATCACCCACAGTGTAAAAGACTTTTTCCTTACATCCAACCTAAATTGACACTCTTTAAGTTTTAAACCATTTCACCTTGTCCTGTCACCACACACCCTGATAAAGAGTCTGTGGTTCAGTACAGAGAATAATAACCTTCCATTACTCGTTTATATTCTGAGAGGTAAAGTATTTGAGCTTATATTACTGTACTGCTCTCCAATTACTTGTTTTGGAAATAAATAGAAAATGACATATCTATTTTCCTATCACAAAGTCTGTAATTTGTAAGCATTTATGTTCAAGTACTTCCAGGCAGAGACCAGGACTATTTTGTCATAGGATTTTTTAGTTTAAAAAATAAAAATGAGTTGTTCTAGCTAGCCTTTTCAATTTGAACAAAGGGAGTTGCTTAAAAAATAAGGAAATTAAGCATAGGTAGGTTGATTTTGCGTTAAGTATTTATTAACCTCCACCTCCCTTTAAAAAACAATAACTAAAAAAAAACTTCTGCAAAACAATCAAATACAGAATGCACATGCCATTGTAATTAGAACTCAGTTGTTCTCTTTAAAGCAGTTGTTACGCAGTACCACATGGAGGATTTTTTTTGTTTTTGTTAAAATGCAAGATATTTGTTGCAGTGCATAAGCTCTGAGCTATTAAACAGAGTCAATATTTGAGTAAACTTTCCTGTCAGACACATAGTTCTCAGATGAGTTTTTTCTTATGTTCTTACAATTCCATGGGAAAAGTAGCTAACTTCTTTGTTTTGATAGAAACAATAAAGGGAAAGTTATGAGGAATTCAAACTTAGGATAAAATTTATATTATATTTTGAGTCTTTCAATACAATATAATTCCCTAATTTTTTTTTATTTGACCTTCTAGTACAGTTTAACCAGATTTTTCTGGCTATGTTTGGACTTGAAATGCAAAATTGGCAGGAAATATTTTGGTTGTACCTTCTAACGTTATGTAAAAAGCTAACAACTCTTGAAGTAGTAGTGAACTTTCTGTAGGACCTTACAATCTGTACTCCGCACAACCAGACAGGTGTACTGAGGTGGCAGCAAAGAGCTGAAGCAACATTAGTGGGACAGCTTGCTCACCACAGAGCAGGGCTGGAGCAGAGCCTGACTCACTCTGGAGCCCTGTCTGGTGTCCGTTCTAGACAGAACACTGACCTCTCAGGGCAGTTCAATGCTACGTCTAGCACCTCAGCATTGTAGTCTGTGGATCCTGGTAGACATGCCCTCAGATGTATTTTTCTTCAGGTCCCCTGGGGCTGTCTCTCCCACACTCAGCTAGACAGCTTTAGATTCTAATTTAGTCCAAGAACAAAGAGAATGAATGTAAAGGGGTTGCAGGGAAGAACGGCTCTATAAAAACAGCGAACAGCTAGTATTCATGTTTTATTTTAAGCTTATTTCCTGTTTTTGACTGTGGCCGCTGACCTTGTCACAAAAACTTCCTTCCTCATTGCTTTGCTTAAAATATACATACATTGTTTATGTATGCATCTGTGCGACAGAGCATCAAAGAGTGGACTTGTGAGATCATTCTGGTATCAACTCAAGCTCACCAAGAATGAGAACTGCAGTAACTTGCAGAAGGAACTTTCTGTGAAGCCTTTTAACCTTCTGGAAACACAGTTCTAAGAATATTACACTGCAGCCTGTGTTCCCAACCCATTCTCTTGTAGCATGGGCAAACAGACATTTCTCCTGATAGACGGGCTGGAGACAGTCTTCAGACTTGACCCAGACACTGACTCTCTCTCCTTTACTACTTCACAGCAAAGAACTGAATCTGCATTTGTCCTCTGTGGTATATAGTGAAAGAAAGAGTAATTAATCAGAAGTTTATTTCCATTGGAAGCGAGTTTCAATCGCATAGAACTAAAAGATACGTATAAAAACACAAGAGAATAATTCATCTTCCTATATCTTCCCCTATTCATGAACTGACCAGAAATTTTGCCATCTAAATTTCTAATCTCCTCCTCGGTAATTCATTCACTTCCTGAGTTTCTTTGGCTTGTGATAACAAAAAAATCTATCTGATTACTCATTTAGGCTTATTGTTCCTTATTATTATTTTTTCTCTCATTTTTTTCAGAGAGTTTGCCTTTTCTGATCACCAGCCAAATGAATTTCAGCACTGGCTGTGTTGAAATAAGGTTTTCGTCATTATTAGGGACTCCCAGTCTTCAATGAATATTGAGAACATTCATAAATAGGAAAGACTTCCTTTTCTGCATTTACTGGAATTGAGAAGGCTGTCAAAGATTAAGGTTGTTACAAGTGGACTTCTTTGTGTTTATTCTCCCATAATCTTCTTGCTACCTAGGAGTGCAACAGAACTGAAGTTTTTACACAGTAATGCATGCTGTGTCTCAGTTCCAGTATTGCATCATCACTGTTGCCAAAGCCTCATGCCCAGTGGTGGATGAGGTATTGATTATCCATATTTTGCTCAAAATATTTTGTTCATGCCCCATTTGTGTTCACATCTTTATACAATACTCTAGAGGTCTCTACTGTGCAAAACTTAAATGGTGTTAGAAGGTCCTGATTATAGTAATAATATTCAAGAGACAGAGTTTTGACTGCTATCTGTCCAGGTTCTCTGGATTTCACATGAAATTTCTTGGTTGTATGAATACAAATCAGTTCTTCATCTGACTCATTATGTTTGATACCTCTAGCTTCTGTTGAAGTTTCTTCAGCGGTAGATCAAATTTTATAGATTAGCTATTGTCATGTGTTATAATTAGAAATACTGGCACAGATGAGATGGCATTACAGAAGGAAAGATTCTCACCTGTCTCCAAAGATCTAGCCTCCCAGAAGGGACTCCACAAGGGAGGGATCTCCAACCAGAGATCCTTCCTCAGGTGCAATCAGACCTTAAATGGGGTCTAAGAGAGGTGCAGCCAGGCTCAACCCCTTCCAGTCACGCAGCTAAATTGCCTTCACCTGTGCTCCCAGGGCTGACCCTGTTCTTTTCCCCAGGTGATCAATCAGCAGTTTAGGCTCTGATTCAACAGTTCCCATACATCGTGGTTTTATGATTTTTGTTATCAGTACTCCACATCATAACATCATGTAGTGTACTGGGAGTTAAAGAGTTAATGCTCCAGTTCTGTGGACTGTCAATATGTCCAAGTACCTGCTTCTGAGAAGAGAAGAAGAACTACATGCTCCAGGGAACTTTGTGTTTCTGTTTCTCATTCAGAGAGAAAGATAAAAACCGTTAGCAGTTCATGAGACATCTATTTTTCCCTTTCTGTTCATCCCAGCAGCGCGTGTGCTCATCTCACTTTCGGCATTAGAGTAAGATCTTTGGTATTGGATACTTTCTCTCATTTTATTTGATTTATTATCTTCAATTCCAATTAAATTGCATTATATTGTATCATATTGTGTTATCTTGCATTTGGATATATTTTCTAGCAAATTAGCTAGACTGTTTTGTTTTTAGGCCCATCTCCTTACCCTTTCCCCTTTTTCCCTTTCCCAGAGCATGGGTTCAGGGGTCCACCTGCCCCATTAGTCAAAGAACCAGGCTGAACCAGCCCATACACCACTGACATACATAGCACTCATTTTTTGTTTCTGTATGTGTAACATACATACATGTTCAATTGAAACTTCATTTTCTTCTTCTCCTAGGTATTATAATAACTTTACCCAGTGCACAGAACGTGAAGCCAACAGTGCAAGTTGCTTCTGGCCAAACCCCCTCGCAGAGAGCTTTATCACTGGAATTCATAAACAGTACTTTTCAAACTGTACTTTGGACAACGTTCACTGGGAAGATCCGCCAGATGAAATTCTCATAACTCTGATCTTGATTCCAGTCATATTAACGTGCGCTATGATAATGCTGGTAGTATGGTGCAGTAAGAGAAGTGATATCCTAGTGTAAGTTGTTCCCAGTGGCTTTATTTTTTTCAGCATTTCCTTCTTCAAGGAAAAAAAACAATGAACTAAGAAAGAAGGATGAAAAAAAGAAACCACGTAAAAATTCCAGACCTGCAGGAATGGAACCTGTGAGATGCTGTGACAGAGATGATGCTTCTGTGAACAAACAGCTGCTTGCTTCTGCCAAAAGCCAGTGCTTCTGAGGTTGGTCATCAGTGTTCCCAGTGCAAAGACTTCACTGTTGTTGGGTATCATAACCATAGAGTTCATGGGCATTTCTCAGAATTAAGGTAGTCCCCAGGTAAGTGGGCCCCTTGGCTGCAAGAGAGGTAAGGCTACTTTCCCATAGGTAAAGCTAGTTGGTAAACCAAGTTTTGCAAAACTGTATGTAAGTGTATATATACACAGTGTAGCATTATCTGTGAGTAAGGTGTTATCTCTTGAGGTTCTGTGCAGAACTCTTGTAGTTTTTATCTGTGAACCTTGTAACACAGATGTAAAACCATTGGCAAAGAAATTGAACATGGATGTGTAACCAAGCAACAATCTCTCCTGAAAGTTGGTGCAAAACAATAGCATCAAGACCTGGAAGTATTGTCTTGGCAAAAGGAACAATTAATGTGTTCAGTGCAACATGGGAACAAGTCATGCTGCATTATGAAATCGCTTAGGAAATTTATTTGAGCATAGTTGAAATTCTATGGCTTACAAACAAACTCTAGAAAGAATACAGATCTTACTTTACAGAAAATCTGTGAGAGGAAGATGATTGATTATAAGGGAAGAAACTTTCTTATGTTAGACTATTTATTTTTCTCTTTTATTATTATTATACTTGATGACTTGAATTCACTGTATACTCCCTGCTCTCACTTCAATTAGTGCAAGTGACATCCTTCAAGTAAATATGAAAGTATGATGTTGATTGAGGTGCCTTTTAGATGACAATTTTGTACATAATTTGTTTTTTATCCTGTGAAGTGTGGGAATTGAAGTATGGATATCAAAGAGGTATGAATATAACTTGGAACAGACATAGGAGGAAAGAGAAGAAAAATCTACTCAGAAGTCTTATTCTATAAAGCTATCCCAATGTAAAGATTTCAATAAATGTCATATGCCCAAACTAAAACAAACTCCTTGTTTGCATTATAATTTTTTTTCCATTTCACAAAATACCTTCCAGTCAAAAGCCCTTCCATTATAAGCAAATAAAGTCTGTTACAAGTAATTGTTCATTTTATTATACCGTTTGCAGACAAATAGCTTGAATGTCAAAGGAATGATATCACATATCCTAGTTAGATTCTCTCTTTTAAGATTCTGGTCTGCTGTTTAATAACCAGGTCTGGATCAAGTTGGAAGCACTCCCGATATTAAAAATGTTTATATGTAAATACATAAATAAGTGTAGATATACTGTTTTGTGTTCACACCCTTTCACAACAGGTAAAAACACTGGCTTTTAAAAAACTACTTTATATGGTACAATGATTAATGTCTTAAGTTCGCATGTATTTTTCCAAAGACACTCTTTTGATGTCTGGATGCTAATGGAAAAGCATTCCTTGTAAAAGAAGCGTGAAATACGTTCTAGGGATTTCTATATGTATAGTCAATGAGTATCAAGATATTATAATTATGAAATAAACAAAAGAGTTTGGCAGAGCAGATTTTAATAACAAAAAGAAAATAGATAGAAAGCTTACCCATGTCCTGGGCTTGCTGCAAAACTCCAGAGGAGGGATCTCCAGAAGAGATCCTTCCCCACTGGTAGTCAGCTCTTAAATGGGTCTAGGAGAGGTGCAGCCAGGCTCCACCCCTTCCAGCAGCACATCTGAATTGCCTTCACCTGTGGTCCCAGGGCTGACTCATTGCTTGCCTCAGGTGATCAATCAGAGGTTCAGGTCATGATTCAGCAGTTCCCATACACTCCACCCCTTCACGGCATGAACCAAGGATCAGGTAGACTAAAGGGTAAGCTTTTCCTAATACAGAGATCCACTATATCGTGACACTTTTACAGTTTCCATCACAACACAGGTTGGTACAATTCAAGAAGAGCGAGGATTGGTGAACGCTGATATTCTTTTATGGGCCAGTGCTCGATGATGTTACTGGAGGCATGCGGTTGCGAGGTGCAGGTCCCTATTTCTATCCTGGGTCAACACTTCAGCTTGTACTGGGGCATGTCCCGGCCACCTGTACCACACCTTCTGGCCAGATGTCTGCGGGTGCATAATTATATCGGGCACCAAAGGGGATGTCCTGATCTGCCATAGGGACATGATGGGGGTCCCTTTAGCAATGAAGATCGGAGTGTTGACCACAATATCAGTAGGCCATGTACCTATTACTGGAGGGACTACTGAGCCTCCCACCTCCAATAATCTCCCCCAAGGTGCAAGTAGGCTACACCACTGTGGTCCTACCTATACCTTCCAAGGCCATTTTATTCTATGGGTGCCTGGATCTAAATTCTCAGGGGCAGGGAACAGAAGATGATCTTCATTACCAATCTGGGGTCCTCCTGATGATCAGTGCCCATAATTTGGATCCTAAGCAGGGTGGCCCATGTTGTCTGCAACATTCTCAGGGCACTGGGTCTGCCATCTCAGGGTCTTTCATTCAGGTCCTGCAAGGTTTCATACAGTCTTTTCGTCCACCCCTGCAGGGACCAATTTCTTTTGGTGCTGTGGTAGGTCACTGGGCCTAGGATCCTCTAAAGTTCTTCTTTCAAGGGTGATGAAGGCAGACTACTCCTCTGGCTGAGATAGGTGACCCACTGTGCCATTGTTTGTGCTTGGGCCACCCCTGTCTTAGGAAGGTGGATCAGATTTTTCACCCACCCCTGAACTGTCAGAGTGGTCTTGACTCTAACTTCAGCCATTTAAATTATCGGCTCCACTGCCTGTAATGCAGCTTAAGCAGCCAATAACTGTTTTTCAATCATACTGTATCTTTCTTCTGCTCCATGCCAGACCTGAGACCAAAACCCAATAGTTGAGACCCCAAAACAGCTCTGTGACATGATAAGAAAAGCAGATTTTCTGTACGAGAGGAATGGTGTACTAACTGTATTAGAGGCTCTGGAGCATACTGGCTACTACTTTAGGTAAAATCTCAGCAGAGAATTTGGGAAGAGCACAGATAGTAACGATGCATGATGAGCATGTTGGTCAACACCAACTGTGCCAAGGCACTTGGGAAATAGAGGTGGAAAAAGACCCTTTTTCCACATCCTAGGTAGTCATAGCATAGGCACCAACCTCTTAGAGCTAGCTAGGTAAGAGCTAACTGTTCTAAATTGTTGGGAGTCACATTTGTGTGATACTGTACTCCACCTGGCTTTGAGAGGTTAGACTTACTACCTTTCGCAAAGTCTTCCTAATGTAATAACCAGACTGCTGAGCTGGAGACTGTCATGTGAGGCTGAAGATGATGTGTCTTTGTAGGATTTCCTGAGAATATGAATATACAGACGTGACTACTGGGCTAATGACTAGTTTGTTTGGGAAGCTCCAAGTCTGGCAGGGTTATAAGTGGAATTATTCCATGAGATTTGCCATTCAGAGATATTTGAATTCTTAACAAATCCTTCTGAGTGGAATATTATTTTCTTTCTAAATTTAGATATCTGAATTGTAGCTATGTACACAACAGCAGGTTCTCTTACCATAGAATGGCCTAGGTTGAAAAGGATCACAATGATCATCTAGTTCCAACCCCCTGCTATGTGCAGGTCGCCAACCAGCAGACCAGGCTGCCCAGAGCCACATCCAGCCTGGCCTTGAATGCCTCCAGGGATGGGGCATCCACAGCCTCCTTGGGCAACCTGTTCCAGTGCCTCACCACCCTCTGTGTGAAAAACTTCCTCCTAATATCCAACCTAAACCTCCCCTGTCTCAGTTTAAAACCGTTCCCCTTTGTCCTATCGCTATCCACCCTCACAAACAGCCGTTCCCCCTCCTGTTTATACACTGGAAGGCCACAATGAGGTCTCCCTGCAGCCTTCTCTTCTCCAAGCTGAACAAGCCCAGTTCCCTCAGCCTTTCCTCACAGGAGAGCTGCTCCAGCCCTCTGACCATCTCAGTGCCCTCCTCTGGACCCGCTCCAAGAGCTCCACGTCCTTCCTGTGCTGGGGGCCCCAGGCCTGGACGCAGTGCTGCAGATGGGGCCTCACAAGAGCCGAGCAGAGGGGGACAATCACCTCCCTCTCCCTGCTGGCCACCCCTTTTTTCATGCAGCCCAGCACACAGTTGGCCTTCCGGGCTGCAAGCGCACACTGCTGGCTCATGTCCAGCTTCTCGTCCATGAAGTCTTTCTCCTCAGGGCTTCTCTCAAGGACATCTTCCTTCAATCTGTATAAAAACCTGGGATTGCTATTTTCATCTCAATCCAAAGTAGATACCTCATTAGATTAGATTAATAGTTAGACATTCTTTCTAGAATCCGTCAACTGGATCTTAGTTGTAGTCACACTGTAGCCTCAGATACAAAGTAGAGGAAATTAATGCTCACAAGTGAGCTGAACTGTTTATTGAAAAGCTCACCAAAGGGACTGAATACTGCTTATAAATACAGGCAGTGAGTAGAATTACACAGATCCACTGGCATAATTTCTAAATGTGTCACGTTGTGAAGTTGCAATACATTAATTGCTCACCTCATATAAACGTGTTGGCTTAATCATTCAAAAACAAGAAAAGGAAGCCTAACAATCTCCATCATGAACTTAAGAGACTCTTGTTTCTTTCTTCCCTTCAACAAGACTATAAGAGAGCTGCATATTGATATTTTCCAGCTGGGCTAATGGTTTATGCATACTCTATGGAGACTCCACTGTGCAATCAATTGTATACGACTGTGTGTGAACGGTATATCTACTCAACATTTGATGCACAAACACACCTGTTTATCCAGATCATAAACCCATTGGAGGATCATACCTTACTTCAGCAACGGCATCTGAACCAAAATACTGTTGGGAGATGAGCTAATAAAAGTGATTAAGCATGTCTGTCTGGTCATACTTCTGTAACAATATTGCATACAGATCTAGTCAGATAGAGGTGAAGAGGGCTTTCACAGGGGTATCTTATATTTGGTTAACTGCTATGAGAACAAATATATATACTACATCAGAACTGAATGAACAAACCAGTTGTTTTTGGTTTTGTTTTTGTTTTTTTTTTCCATGGGAATTTGTATGTGAACTAGTTTTGAAAAGATAGACAATGCCACATGAAATTATTCTTATTCCAAATGAATAGAAACAGGCTTAGATTTGAGTCAGCTGTAGCCATTTAGTTCACGTAAATATCTGCTTTGGAATGAAATGATACATGTTAAGTTACACAATAATTTTAAAATGAATCATTCACTATCTGAGTAAATTTTAACCTTAATAGAGAAAGAAGAATGAGAAAAATATGACTATTTATTTATTTGCTTATGCAGGCACTGGCTTGCTCCATAATGTAGACTTAGTATGAAATGAAACTACACTACTTTCTGCAGTATCAAACGTGTTCTTTCTCTAAGGCATGGAGCTGTTAACCCAGCCAATTTTACATGTATGTAGATGTCTTGCTTTCTCTTTACCTAAACAGAGAGATATCACTGTTTATTGGTTATTAGTCTTTTAGGACATAACTAGAACAAAATGCTGGAGATGAGTGTGACGGGGTCACAGCATCTGAGCCAGCAGAACCGACGGAACTGCTGGGACAAATTTCAAAGGGAGTCATTATTCCTAATGGGGCTCTGAAATGGGAATGTAGCTCAAGGCTACCTGGCTGGAGTCAGCCTGCAGATTTTAAAGACTCACTTGGGAAGACTTGAGTTTGGTTTTGACAGTCATTTCTAAAGATAACTATTAATAATAAGAGTCATAGTTTACTGAGATCTTATAGAATCTGCATCAAACAGAACCTGTATTACTTTGTCAGGGCTGAGAGTAAGTGGCTTTCCATTAATTTCTTCTGAAGAAGAGAGATTTGTCTTGAGTACAGTATTTATAAGGTGATTGCAATTAATATTCCTGTCAGCAGTGAGTGAATCTCAGCTTTTCTGGACTCCCTAATGTTTCCCAAATTATTTTAAAGTGAAAAACTTTGCCAGCAATTCTTATTCT